TCGCTTCTCTCCTCTGGGGCCAGTGGGAGCAGCTGGTGGAGATGTCAGTGGTGAGAGAGGAGGCCGCAAAGGTGAGGGATGGGGGACTGATCCAGCCTGTGGGGTTCTGCCGGTGTTTGCAGCAAACGCTTGGACAAGGCGAGCTTGGCTTCCTCGCAGGTACTTCGTCTGCGTCCTCCCTTAGTTCTGAATCAATGCCCCCTTTCACAATGCCCACTGTTTCAGCGACAGCAAGGGAGACAAAGGACTAGAGTGGAGCTAGTCGGTCAAAATCACAATTCTGGGAACTGAATGTGATGAGCACTTTCGGGAACCTCAGGGGGCTGTAAGAACTGCTTCCTGTTAGTTAGAACTTTATTTCCTAGTCATTTCTGTAGGGTAATTGTGTCTAGCATCCACAAACGTGCTTGTGCAGAGTTAGATCTGAAGACACGTTTATGGAACAAAGGAAGCCATTTTCTTTCCTTTTTTTTTTTTTTTAATTTATGTATCTACTTACATTATTGTTCCTTCTACAACAGCGTTTACTTCTCCCTCCCCCTCCAGTCATCACCACAGCCCCCACATCCCTCCCTCCTCCTGACCCCGCTCGCCCCTCCCCTGTAGGAGCTCTCTGGCTTATACTGGAAGGGATTATGCTCAGTGAAATAAGTCAGAAGGAAAAACATAGCCAATGGTTTCAGTAGTAGGGGAATTGAAGAAAACCAAATAAGATATAGGAGAAAAAAGTGTAGTGTTGTTACGATACAAAACAAAACAAAGGCGGCCATTTTTATTCAGATCAGGTGATTCTTTCCCTGTTCCCCTGATCTTGGCCCTGAGGTGGAGATAACCTGAGGGCAGAAACAAGGCATGGTGTTCCCAGGTTCCAGTTGCTTTTTAGCAATTTGCCCTAGTCAGTCCACGAAGTCTTCCTGTTTTCTGCCCACACTGTTTTTGCCTTTGGTGATATTTTGCAGGCACATCTGTGCAAATAGAATCATCTGTGATTGGATAGAAGTTTATTTACTAAACACATTCCACCAGAGAAACCTCTAGAGGTAGCAACTAGTGATGAGAACCATCCTCCTGGGATCTTCCAGGCAGCAATAATGACAGCACTAATAGCTCTCAGTTACTAGTGCATCCACGAGTATCCAAAGCAGCAATTTCAAACCAAGTGTGACACTATAGGGATTTTGCAGGCTGTACTGATATTTCCACTAATAGCATGCAATTACAAGTGCATTCAGGCCTGTAACCTTGCCTACTCCCAAGCTTACTAGGCATGATTTCCTGCCAAAAATAAAAATGTGCAAATGTAGGTGAAACAAATATGTGGGAAGCAACATTCCTTATTTAAAAAGGTTTGAAGAACCAGGTAGATTTGGGTTCAAATCCTGTCTTTGTGCCTTGTTGCATACTTGATTTTGGAAATTCATCTTTTCTGTCTGAACCCCTCACCTGAAAAAGAAAATAACAGCTTTTCTGTGAAGCTGCAGAGTGTTGCAGTTAAAAACAGTCACTGGCCCCCCCTGGTGGCACAGCAGGTTAAAGCACAGCACTGAGAAGCTGCAGCCACTTCAGCATGAGTTCGATCCCCACCCAGAGGTGACCCACATGGTGTGGCAGACCACTCCTGACCCGCCCGCTGCTCCCCTCATCCCCTCAGCAGTGTACTTTGTCCATCTGCCTGTTCTGCTCCCCACTCTGTCTCTGGTGAATCCTCTCATAGCACCTGTGCCTATGACTTGTACCCCAGCTCCCCAGCTGTGTGCATAAAAACGTATTAAAAAATTATATATATATATATATAGTCACTAACTTCTGCTTCTGGATATGGGCAACTGAATACACTCACTGAATACACTGCTTTTAGGATATGGACAACTGAATACATTCACACCTAGATGATGAGAAAAATTTGGGTAAACTACAGAATTACAACCTCTCCTCACCCTATCAGAGGGCTGAGATTCCAGGACAACCTTCCTCTTCTAGGGAGAAATGGAACACACCTAAGACGGGTAACAAAAGATGTGTGGCTGCCATGCAAACAGGCAAGATGAAATCAGCAGTAGTGCAAACAAGCTGCTACGAGCTTGGTGTTGTCCAGCTGGCATGACAGAAACAACCCTGGAGAGGAAGACTTAGGTGAGTCAGCACTGGCTTGAGGCATCTTTTCTAAGGGCTCGCATAGTGCTCAAGAGAAAGTACTCATACGAGTAACAAGTAGAACATAACCCAGTAACAATTGAGCTGAAGAGCTAAATAGATATTTTCCAAAGAAGACATACAGATGCCAACAGCACATGAAAACATGCGCATCATCACTTATCATCAGAGAGAGCCACCTCACACCTCTGAGAATGGCCTGCATCAAAAAGAACAGAACCAAGCACTGGTGAGGGGATGGAGAGAAAGGCGTCCTGTGTACTGTCGGGGGAGGTAGGTTGGTCCAGCCCCTTGTGGAAATCGTATGGACATTGCTCAAAATACTAAAAATAGGTTTACCATCTGATCCAACAATTCCACTCCTACGTATCTACCCAAAGATCGCAAAAACACTAATTACAAGGGATGTCTGTGTCCCACTCTCTACAGAGCTGTTTCCAATAGCCAAGCTATGGAAACAACTGACTGACTGAGTAGTGGCTTAAGAAGTTGTGAAAGAGAAAAAGAATGGAATTCTATTCAACTTAAAAAAAAAATCCACTCCTGCCATTTACAACAACATGGGTGGAACTCAAGAATATAATACTAAGTGAGGACTCAGAAGGAGAAAGACACATATCAGATGATGCACGTACACATGGAATGCAAAGAAATAAAAACAAAGGATCAGATAAAACCAAACCAATTAAAAACCCTAGAAAACTGGGCCCTCCCTGGTGGCACAACAGGTTAGGACACAGCACTGCAAGCTGGCCGCAGCTGCCTCAGTGTGAGTTTGATCCCTGGCCCGGAGGTGACCCACAGGGCACAGCAGACCTCTTCTGTCTCACCCACTGCTCCCCTCAGCAGTGGACTTTGTCCATCTGCCTGTTCTGCTCCCCATCTGTCTCTGGTGAATCCTCTCACCACCCCTGCACTGCACCTCTGGCTTGTACCCCAGTTCTGTATGAGTAAATGAATAAATCTTAAAAAAAAAAAAAAAAAAGCCCTAGAAAACTGAGTTGGAATCAAAGTCTGGCCAGGAAATATTTTTCAATGCCCCTTCCTCAACAAAACACATTTTCAGTAAAAACCTTTAACTTAAATAAAATGGTTTAAAAGACAATGCTGTATATTTTATTGAACATTTTATAAACCATTATGGCCAACATTAAAAAACCAAAAAGCGTGCAAAAATTACAAATTAATCAATCAACTCAACCAGTTGTGTACGGTTTTATTTTCTTGAAAGGCTTTGTTCTTTTTTGTGCATTGTGGTATACTTTTAAAATAAACAATGAGCATTTAAAAATGAAAAAGTTTCCCTATAAAGATATCACTCACCATTGACAAAATATTTCTGTCCAAATGAAGTTCAATGTAGGCTTCTCTGGCAAGCCCGTAACCGTCCACACATGGCTTCACTGATTGAGGCAAAAGTACCAGGAGTGGTCGGCGACCAGGTCAGCATGAAGCCCAGGCCACTCACTGAGTTTACAGTTGTACTGCCATACTTGGGACCTGTCGGTGAAGTGTAGCGACCCAGTGTGGCACAGGCACTTCAGCCTGAGGTGTAGGGCAAGCGGCCGGGAAGTGCCGGACCCCAGGAAGTAACTTTAGAGGCCCATTGCCTCTCCCTGGCCCTGGAACATTTCTTCTGGCCACTGTTACTGTGCCCGAGGCCATTTCAAGGACAAGGCCCTGACAGAGCAGTGTGCTTTTGAGACCACCTGGCGTGCACACGCGACTGAACCCCGTTAATGCCCCTGTGTAAACTGTTCCATTTCTGGCAAGCGAAGGCAGAGTCTACTTGGCACATGGCCTCCAAGACAATCCTTCTATTAAGTGCCCTTGTTGATTAAGACATCACCTAATCTGGGAAGGCCTGACACTTTCTCTCCTTGTCTTTTGGGGAGCAGAGCTGGTTTGCAAATCAACAAAAACGAACAGCGGGAGGCATTCAGGGCCAAGTACGTAATAGGAAACTCTCCGCATAAATCCCCATGGAGGATCCAATGGTCAGTAAAGGATAAGCACTAAAAATGTGCTCCTATGGACCCCACATACACAAACACACACACTTAAGTCTTACAGATTACCACAGCCATCTTTTACAAAGTAGACCAACACATGATTATTTTTTACGGGGAGGGTAATAATTCTGTGAGAAAGGGGCCAGGCTAAGAACACATGCTTTGACTCCATTTTTATAAACCCCTCAAAAATAGAAAATCACTGTTGCACCTAAGTTTCCTAATGGGGCTGATCCGTGTTGGATTCGTGGCTTCCGGTCACCATTATTTTAGAGCTTAGAATGCTTTCAGTAACTTCTAGTAGGGTGAGACTTTTGGCCCTTCTGGGGACCTTTAGTTGGTGACAGACGATGCTGAGGCTGGTAACCAGCATTGTGAGGTCGGTGCTCTGGAGGTGGTCCGCATTTCGCGATGGTACTCCCACCTGCCACCAGATAGGGTCTGGCAATCTATCCCGAGTCATGCCCTTCCCCTTGTCTCAGACTGAACCCCAAGTTCTTTCCCATGTTCCCTTGCATCTGGGTTATTAAAGAGGACGTTTGTCTTCAGTGCTCTGTCGTGACCCAGTCCTTATTCCCCGTCTGGCTAACTGCATCTGCCATTCTGACCCCGGCATGTATGACCCCATGACCCTTCCTCCTCATACGCCCACCTCTGCCTTTCCTCTTCCCTCCCACCATAAGTGAACTCAGACGTACAAGCAAATTTTCACAACAGGTTGATTTTATTTCAATGAGTGCCTCTGTTGTAAAATTCAGTGTCTACACGATTGGTTACTTCCCAGACACAGACCTCCGGATATACAGCACGGAGTTAGAGGTTTGGCCTATGAAGTCACTGCCTGCGCAGCTGCTCGCTTGAAGTAGACGTCTTCACACTGCCTTGTTCCTCTTCTGCTTCGTCTTGGTTCAGTTTCTCATTCAGTTTGCGGTAGTGGCCAAATACTGTTTGTCTTCTAGTTTTCCCAACGTTTCTTACGGTGTTGACCCGTTTTTCAGAGGGTTTTTTATGCAGATTCCTGCGAAGGGGAGGCTTCACCTTCATGCTTGTCTTCATGGCCTGGAAGGACAATGGCATTAAGTCAGTTTTGGGGAGGAAGATGGTAAACTAACAGGTATGTGGCTTCATGAGAAGGGGGCCAGGGTACAAGGGAGGGCACTGTGGTGGTCAAGGACAGGGAGATATCTTGGGGAAGGGGGACTCAATAAACATAACTGAAGGGAATAGCTTGTGGAGGGCCATCTTACCTTGGACCTCGGTTGACAGGAAGTCTTTGCCTTCTTATTCTGTTTGGAACTTGAGGTCGGTTGCTCCATATCTAAAGTAGGCTCTGGGCTTTTTTTGGTTATTCTAGCCATACTGAAGCTTCCAAGTGGTCTCCCCAGGTCTCCTGACCATCTAATGCCTAACTCTCCCTAGGACAATGAAGGGCCACACTCCTCAGCTCTGATTGGCCACCAAGGTTCTCTTCTAGCCAATGGTAGCTAAGGTTGACTTAGCATCACAAAGCACTACTATGATATCCTCCATGTGGGAGAGGTCACTGGGGTGGCCAAGTTGCTTAGACGTCTCTAGGAGACCTATGTGGGAGTGATGCTTGGGATACAGATGGTTTACTTGGAGAAAAGAGAATGCTGACACCCTCCAAAATAATATTCCCAAACTGAAATTCTACCCCTCTTCATGTCCCCATGAATGGTGTAATGGTGTACGTAGTAGAAACAGAACTTTCCATTCAGGATATTCTCTAAGACACCACCTCTTCTCCCCCACCAAGTGGTTTATTCTGCTGGTTCCCATTCTTTTTTTTTGGGGATAGCTCACCTAGAATTCCTCCACAAGTAATAAATACCAGCAGAGCTACGACTCATCCTACAAACACAGTTCCCACGAATAAACATCTCCCTACCTAGATCATCTGGCATTAAAGGCTGCTGACTTAGATTATTTTCTGCCAGTTCTGCTTCTTACATGTAGGGATTAGAATTCATTCACGATGGTTGCTTTTATCTTTACTTTTATTCTATCATTAGACTCTGGCAACATTATTATCACTGAGTTTTGGCAAGGTTCTGCCTCATACATTTTATTCTATGTTTCTTTCACTCTTCCTATACAATCCAATGCTCATTCCCACCATCAGGCACCTACTCTGATAGGCTTGAATTTTGTTTAAGTGTATGTTTATATTTTTGTGAAATATATAACCTTGTGAAATGTATATATTTGAATATGTAAATGTGTTACATTTTTTAACTTGTGCACCCAATATTCTGCTTTTACATTCACCTTTTGCAGCTATATGTGTCTCTATCTCTTTGTTTCCAGGACTGCATCTTCCTATTAGGGTGCATGCAGCAAGTTTTATTATCCTCTCCCCTGTGCCCTGCTAGGGACACCTATGCTGATGTTATACTCCAATGCCATAGACAATGCCATAATAGCCATCCTCATTCATGTGCCTTTATCGACTTCTGCATATGTTTCTCTCAAATTTACAGTGGAGGATAGAATTTCTACATCATAGATAGGCATCATTATTGTAGTCCACTGGGGCTTCTATGACAGAGTAACATCACCTGGGTATTTATTTCTCTCAGATCTGGAGACTGGAAATACAAGGTTAGAATGTTAGCATGGGTAGGCACTTGATGAGGGCCCTTCTGCCCTCATATGGCCTTCCTTGCTGGACAGAGGCATGGAGAGAAGCAGAGAGAACTACCTCCTGTCTTTTCTTCTTTTTACAAGGGCACGAATACCATCCTTAGGTCCCATCCTCACGAGCTAAACTAATTCTAATCACCTATAGGCCCCACCGCCAAATCCCAGCATATTGCTGACTAGTTTCGACATAAGAATTTTAAAAGAACACATGTTTTACATCTATGTCAGAGTTTCACTAAATATTACAGACTGTACTCCAAGACAGCTGTCCCAGTCTACATCCTCAGTGGGATTACGTCATTATCTGTTGCCCTGCGCCAGTACTTGGCTTGAAAGGCAGCCTCTTCCACTTAAGGAGCCTTCTGATGTTCACGCCCCTGTGCAATCTATTCCCCTCAAGTGTAGGCTCTTCCTGGTGACTTGCTTCCAATGACCAGAATCAACAGATCTCAGCACCAGTAATTATTTTGATTTACTTGATATAGAAACAAATAATGTAATATGTAAGCCACTTCCAAGTTGATACAAGTATAGTTCATATTTTGCCTAATTCAATCTTCAAAAGATGATAGAAAATTATTATTTTATTGGGAATGTATAAAATTCAGTGAAAGAATCCACATTTCATTACTCAGCTCCACAGGCTTACAGGTCACCGAACAGTCACTATATATGACATTTATTGCATTTAACTCTCAGTAACTTGTGACAGGATGAATACTTTGTGAATGTAGAATAACTGCCCTTTGTTACACCATGTATCCGTGTGCTCAACAGTAAAATTTGCTTTCATTTTTTAAAAACATTGTATTTTCTCCCTCATTTTTTAAAAATATGTATTTATTTATGAAAAGAACTGGGGTACAGGCCAGAGGTTCAGGGGCTGAGAAGACTCACCAGAGACAGAGTGGGAAGCAGAACAGGCAGATCCACTGAAACACACTGCTGAGAGGAGCAGTGGGGAGACAGGAGAGGCCTGCTGTGCCATGTGGGTCACCTCCCTGGTCAGGGATCAAACTCATGCTGCAGTGGCTACAGATAGCTTCACAGTGCTGTAACCTAAGTCCTTGCACCAACAGGGAGGTCCTTTTCTCCCTCAATTTTTATGTAAAATTCTGTATTTCTGGATTTTAGCTCTATGCCCTATATCCATACATAGACATCTCATGCTGCCTTTCAGAGCTCTACTGTAACGAAACTACTCAGCTATCAAGTACTCTGGTTATTTCCATAACTTGACTGTTATAGGTAGTGCTTCAAGGAACACAGCAGTGTAGCTGTACCCCAAAATCAGTGTAGGTTTCTAGGAGTAGAACTGCAGGATCCTATGGTAGGGCTATTTTAATAGTTTCAGAAACCTCCTTCTCTATAGGTGCAGAACCACCAGCTCAGTAAGAGGATTCCATTTTCTACTTTAATAATGTCCTTGCTTTGAGAGGTCAGAATAACACCTGAAGGAAAAGTGGTGATATGTGAATTAACACGTTAGTTGAAAGAACAATATAACTGTTCGTTTTCAACGGTGATCCCTTCACTGAAAATGTTTTCTTACTTATTCTCAACTTATTTGTTACCCTCAAATATACTACTGATCAATAATATGCTGTGGCCTGCGAGAATACACAGGCAAGGCAAACCTAGATTCTGCTCTCAAAGAGCTCAGGAATCTAGTGGTGGGGTGGCAATATTTTGTTCTCTAAAGAGCTATACAGTAAATAATTTTGACTTTTGTAGCATATGGTCTCCATCAGAACTACTATACTCTGCCCATGCAGCAGGAAATTAGCCACAGAAAACACAAACAAGAATGTGTGTGTGTGTGACTATTTTTTTTCTCCTAATCAGGCAGCTAAACCAACTTTTTGGCCCCTAGGCCATGATGCGATTTTTGTCAGTGCTTACTATTTGTAGGGATTGGCTTGAATGTTGTGTTTAACAGGACCCAGGATGTAGCACGAAGACACAGCATGATCAGTTAGCTATGCTTTCACAGTTTCATTTGTATGGCTGCAGAAATGGCATTCCCCAACCTATGTCTTTGGCATGAAAGACAGACATTAACAACACAATATCACACTTGTGGAAGATGCCATCAAAGACATGGGTGTCTAAAATGCTTTTAAAATGAGTGTATTCTTTTTCTTATTGAGGTAATATTGGTTTGCCGTACTGTGAGTGATCCAGGTGCATGTACCACACCATATCCACCCATGAAAACACAGCACAGTAGAACCTCATCTTATCACCGACTACAGTGTTTCTAGAATGTCTGAAGGTTTCTTTCACCAGTGTAGTCTGTTTCTTCCAGTATCTTCTTTACTTTGTTAGTGTTAGAACTACTCTCCACTCTCCCTTGCTTGAAGATTGGTAATCCCGGATTGTAAATTCAGGATTTTGTATAGAGGAATAAGATGATGTGTGTGAGTCTGGTTGGTTGAGCTTGAGTTGTACTAGAAAACTTGATTTTATTAAAATAAGTTTGCATATCATTCTTTTTTGTGTGTGATAAATTTTCACGAGAAGTTTTCCAATGTCCTGTCTGAATGTTAAAGATCTGGCTGGCTGCTAGAAACTTGGGAGCAGTAATCAGTGAGAATGGAGTGGAAGCTAGAAACCCAGCTTTCAACATGCGTGAGGTCCGTGGTCACTTGTGCCAGTTTTCTAATACACATACCCTCACCTGCGCCTGGTGTGTCCAGAGAATTTACCTGAGGTGGGACAGTGGTAGTTCCCCAGAGCTAACACCAGACAGAAGGTCTAGAAATCTGATAGCTCTTATTCTATTCCACATCTTAGCCTCTCTTATGCCCAATTCTGTAAGTTACTGGGACTACTTCCTGAATATTTGAGGATTCTGTAATGTAAATCTGTTTCTGTCCCCACTTTTCTTAAGGCCTGCTTGAGATTCAGCTTTCTCAATTCTGCTAAGTCAGTTATTACTGGTTCATTTGCTTTCCAACTTCCAAACTGTTGTTGCTGTTTTTATTTGCTCCTATTCTGTCTGTCCTTGTGGATTCTAGTGAAGTTTGCAGAGGAAGTGAAATTAGATGTGTATATTCAATCTGCTATCTTATTATCTTCTGCCTCTGGAGTAAAGCAGGAGGGATTTATACATTTAGGAAACCCAGAGTCATCCTCATGGTGGGGATTCACACACATAAACTGCATTGAATGTGGAAATGAGATACATTTGAATTCTGCAAGGAATTGAATCAAAACATATATACAATAAAAGAAATAGTTGTGTTTTTTTTTTATGGCTCCCAGTTTGTTATTTAGTCTTTAATGAAATTGTGAAGGCTAAGAACATCTATTTTATGTACACTGTATTCTTCTGATCTCAAGTAAAGAACTTTGCCTCTTGTTCATTAGGTTTATAAGATGATTAGAAAGCCTTTAGTGTCCCTTCTGGTAATCGGATTGTCACAAATAAACATTCTAAGTGAGGCAGGCATGATGGTTACTGGGTATTAATGGCATCTTGGGGCATAAGTTGAGATGACTGGCATTGTTTGAGACCAAGAGAAGAATGACATTAACAGAACCTGGTTGTATGATGTGACTGAGTAAGACGTGGAACACAAATGCAGAGTAGCAAAGGGCAATTGTGTTCTGTTAGAATGAAATGAGATGGAAAATACATCACAAACTCTAAAGGCCTGACGGGTGTCTTTTCTGTGAGTGTGCTTGTCTC